GGCAGAATGTCTTCATTCATGCACAGCTAGTATAAGCTGATCTACATCTGGCATTTCCTGTGTCAAGTAGAGATGACAGCTTAACCTCATAAAAGTTTTGTGGAATTCAAACAGCTAATTTATGTAAAACATTTAGGATCTTGTGGGACATGTGGTAAACATTTTTTTAAAATGAGTGTTTTTGTGGCTTACGGATGCCCCTATTTCAATAAAGGCCTCATAATTTAGGCATGCCTTGGGCGGATTGCGAGTTCAGTCCCAGAACACTGCAGTAAAGCAAATACTCCAATAAAGTGAGTCAAACGACTTCTTTTGCTTCTCGGTGCATATAAAAGTTATGCTTATATTGCACTACAATCTATTAAGTGTGCAATGACATAATGAAAAAGCTTGAAAAGCTGTGAGAGTGTGACCAAACTGTGACACAGAGACATGAAGTAAGCATGTGCTGCTGAAAGATTGTGCCAATAGGCCTACTCGACACGGGGTTGCCACGAACCTTCAGTGCAGTAAAGAGTGCGGTACCTGTAAAGCAAACCGGACGGGCATGCCTGCCTGTACAATGCTGGTGAATGAGACTCAGAGCTTCGTGAAGAACCTCAGGAGCTGGCGGAGGAATGAGCCCTGGCCATAGATACTTAACATCTTTCTCAAAGGAGGAAAGAAAAGTGCCTGAAGAGAGAGATGAATAACCGAGTGCGTGAATATGAGGGAGAGAGTCCTTCTGGACGGAGTAAGGGGTAAAGACCGCAGCGGAGTGGCCATCTAAGCCCTCTGGACCAGCTCTGTGAGCTTAAGCAGCCCATTTCCTTTGTCCTCCAGGCTCACCAGAATTACGGGTGCAAAGAATGACAAGTTTCTCGCAGGTAAACCCTTTACAAGGCAGTAGAACAAGGGGGTTAAGAACCCAGGTTGGCTACTTGGTACCTACCCTCATGAAGGGATGGGTCACTGAAGAGATATCACAAGAGCAGAGTGGATGAAGAAGTGGATGGTACCCAGCGATCAGAAAGAATGGTATCTAGGATCTTGAAAGCTTATCTTAAAATAAGAAGCTGTGTAAGATGCCAGCAAAGCTTCTATGGAAGAAGCACGCCAACCCGTGTGACCCCAGGATTGTAAATACCGTAATAAAATCCACAATCCGAGGAAGTAATTGTATTAGAGCTTAAATTCTGAGCACCTGGAAAAAAAAATTCTGAACACCTGGTTTGCAGATGTACAGGCGATTGATGATAGTGAAAACTCAAAATCCATTTGTAGAGTCCCCACAGGGAATAAAGTTCCCTTGAATTCCCTCAGACCATTAATCATCATCGTTGTGACTAGCCTTCCCCTCAAGCAGAGTGCATCAGGAAGTTAATTAATGCACATATAGTTAGGCTAAATCTTAACATGTTATCATTTGTTTTCTCCTTTGACTCCATTTTCATTTGTTGTAGTATTTATTTTCTGCTTTCTTCTGTGTTTTGTTGTTAGGCTTTTTTGGGGTCTGATTTTCTTTATTTGACATCCAAGATAGATAAATCTATAGAGACAGTAACTAAAATAATAGTTTCTTGGGGCTATAGCAGGGGAAGTTGGGGGAAATGGGCAGCTAATTGCAATGAGGGCAAAAATAAAGAAAAGGTTCAAAATTGATTGTAGGGATAATTGCACAACTCATTAATATATTCAAACTGTGTGTGGCACGTGAATTACATGTCAATAAAACATTTTTTTTTAAAGAAAAGGATCTTGGCTGGAGCCCAGACAGTCCTGCGTGAGAGTCCGCACCCAGGCTCTGCCCTTGTTCTCGGTGACCCTCTCCACATCCCGAGTTTGCGACTCTCAGGTGAGAGGTGACTAACGCCTGCCACTAGTGTGTGCAGAACGCTCGGTGCAGAGCACGACATATGGGCCCAATCACAAACTGTACCTGTCAGTTATCATAAAACGAAACAAATCACAAACTATACCTGTCGGTTGTCATAAACAAAACGAGTCCGGCAGTGGATGTGACAGCTCTCTCAGCGGTGCATCTGGTTACAGAATCATTCAGTCTGCATGTTGGTGGTGGAATTGATAACATTGTTTTTGTTGTTTTACCAATGGATCCTCCTGGTTATTTTTGTTCACACCACACAGCATGACTCAAAGCACTGAGGGTGATGTCAATGAACTCACCTGTCAATCTCTAGGCTTCGTTTCTGTCAATCTCTGGCGCTTCTGAAGTAAAGACTCCACCTCCAGGCTCTGCAAGCTGAGTGCTGAGAACAGGCAGCAGCTCTCGGTGGGCTTCTGCTCACTAGTTACCCGCACGTCCCGGAGAGATGCAGGGCCGCCCTTCTCCCGGCATTCTTGCCCTTTTTCTTATCAGCCGTGGGGTAGAAGCTGATGAAACGGAGTCAGAATTAGACATTGGTACCCTAACTAGGACATTGCAGCTTAGTTTGGCAAGTTGTTTTTTGAACTTGTAGTACATGTGAGACTTTTCATCCACACAAGAGCCCGTAGAGGAGACACTGTCGTTATTCTCAGTTTACATTGGGAAACCGATGCACAGAGAAGGTAGGGGCCACAGTCCTCCCGAGCTAGAAGGACCAGACAGGAAAGAAACCCAGGTCCATCAAGTCATTACCTCGCTCTACATGGGTCACCAGCCTGTTGATTCAGTCCTACTGTAGCCCCACACCACGTGTTGAAAAGCCTTCAGATTGGCATTCTCCTAACAGAGCCTCTTTGCCTGGCTCGTTCCTAATTAAAATTACACTAATTAAAATCCTTTTTATGTTACAAGCTCCCACAACCTTACCTTCACGTATAAATAGCTGCTGCTTTCCCAGTATAGCTTCAATCCCAACTCTCATCAAGGAGCTTTCCAGACAGGACCCGATGTTTTGGAGGGGCAGTTGAAGCCCAGACATGTGCCGGCCCCCACAGTATGGTGGGAGCAAATCAGGTGAGCCTCTCTCAGGCCCTGTGAGCTGGACTGTGTCCTGTAGGCACGGACAGTGCTGGTGTCAGGCTCTGGGCCACAGAGAGCCCCGTGGCCAGGCTGAGGCCAAGGAAACTGCCCCAGCCCTGCCTGGGCTCCACTCTGTTTTAGTAAGACGCTTAGTTTGTCCCCTCACAGAAGGGACACAAGGAGGAGATGAGCCAGTCAAGGTGTAGCATAGCAATGATGAGACATACAACTTTCCTCTAGTTCCTAAATGCTCCCCCCACACGAACATGATCCCAATTCTACCTTACAAATCTGGCTAGACCAGAGCATGTACACGGGTACAGATCAGAGCTGGAAACACAGGGAATCCAGGAGAGATAAACCCCTCAGGACCAGTAATGAGAGTAGCAAGACCAGGAGGGTCAGGGAAAGGCGAAGGGGGGGGGAACGGGACTGATCACAATGATTGACGTATAACACCACCACCACCACCCTCCATGGTGGACAGACAACAGAAAAGTGGGTGAAGGGAGACAGTGGTCAGTGTAAGACATGAAAAAATAATTTATAAATTATCAAGGGATCATGAGGAAGGGTGGGGGAGGGGAAAATGAGCAGATACCAAAGACTCAAGTAGAAAGAAAATGTTTTGAGAATGATGATGGCAACATACATACAAATGTGCTTGACACAGTGGATGTATGGATGGATTGTGCTAAGAACTGTAAGAGCCCCCAATAAAAATTTTTTTAATAATTTTATTTTAAATCATTAAAAAAACAAAAGGCAGCATTGTTTGTTTTTCTTTGTGAGGATGAAGGAAGGGGCTGGGGCCCAGTGCAGTCAATGTTTTGGGAAATAGTTTAGGGAATGCCTGTGGCACATGTGCAGAGCTAAGTAGGAGTTAAGAGACTTGGTTCCTAATTCTGTCTCTTTCATTTTGAGCTGTGTGACCTTGAGCATGTTACTTAATATCTCTGCTTTTGTTTTCTTACCTGGGTACAGAGATTAGTAATTGGGCCCCTGGGTGCCTAATTCTCCCAAGGGTGTTATGAAAATCAAGTGAGATGATAACATCCATTGAATAGTAATCATGTGCAGATACACTTTCAGTTCCGTACTTGGGCTGTCCCATTTAATTCTTACACCCCTCCCATGGCCGAGGCACGATGCCCCATTCACAGTGGACACCGCTCAGGTCACCCAGCATCCCGAGCCTCATCTCTGGCTCCCAAACTGTTGCCCACCATCACCATGCGTGGCCCGTTGCTCCCCACGGTGCAGCAAGGCAGAGAGCCTGTGCTGTCTTAGCCATCTGTAGCAGGAGGGGCCTCCTGCCAGCCCCATGCTCTGACTTGTTTATCTTATCTGGTAGCTTAAGCCCCTCTCTTCATGTCCCCACAGGACTTACTCAGTGACTTGTTTGGGGTCTGCTCGTAAGGAAGCAGAGGAGTTCTACCCAATGGGAGTTAGGAGCCCTGCCTTCTCGGGTAGTGGTCACTTGAGGAGCAAACACGAGGGCTCTTCCCTCTCAAGCATGCCATTAACTCACCCGGTTGTAAAATGCCTTATGGTGCACTTGTTGATCAATTCCTCAGTCACTGACGTTTGTTTTAGTCACGGAATTTCAGAAGTGGAAGACACCTGAGTTGTCATTTTACTAATGAGGAAACCGAAGTCTAGAGAGGGCGATGACTTGTTGGGGCCATTCACCGAGGTAGACACAGAGCCACCTGGGAACCCCACTGCGCTGGCAACAGAACAGCCCTGGAGCCCAGTCCTCCCAGCAGCAGGCAAGGGCTCTTACTGAGCCTTGCTCACGGATGGATGTCATTCATCCTAAGTGGAAACCAGGCGTCCTTACCCAGGACATTGATGGAGAAAGGGGGCAGGAAGGAAGATTTGGGGTTGGGTGCAGCTCCCCACTAGGGTACACCCTGCCCCGAAGCAATGAGTGCAGCCGTCCTGAGGCCCACTGGGAGCGCAGAGGAAGCCTTTGGTCACTGGGGCTGCTGTGCTGAAAATCGAAGGCAGGATGTTAGACAAATGTGACGGGCCTGGGCTGCAGTTACAGCCCCCGGCTCATTGTCCAGAGGAAACGGATCCTGCTGCGGTCTGTAGGAGAGGTGGAAAGTGAGCCGGGGAGCAGCATGGTTGTTGACATCATCAGACTGAGCATTGGATTACAAGCGGACTGACTGGGCCTGAGACGGGAAACACCCACCCAAACCTGGAGGTGCCTTTCAGTTGGAGCTGCAGGAGCAGGAGCGGAGACGCCTGCCTGCTCTCACCGACCCGGCGTGGGGACCCTGCCCACTTGGGCACGGGGCCACCCTGAAGCCAGCTTTCTTGAATTCCACCTTCGAGTCTGATCCGGACAGGCAGTTGGGGAAACGGTTTGCTCTTGTAAGTAGAACTGGAGGTCCCGTCCGCCGCCACCCCCCGGGGAGGAGCAGAGCTGAGAGCTTGCGTTTCCAGCCTGTTGGCTTCCAAAGTGCTTATTTTTGTATTATTTGTGCGCTCCCTCGCTCTTGCTCCCTCTCTCGCTCGCTCCCTCGCTCGTTCTGAAAGTGACGGCTTTGTTGGAAACTGCCTGGGGCGAGAGCAAGGCTGTCCCATTGAAATGCCTCTTTCCTTTTGCCTCCAGAGCCGGGGCAAGGTTATTTAGAGCTTTGGAAGCAGCTGCTGTGCTCCAAAGTGGAAGAACTAAGTCCTCCCTTAGAAACCGGTGTTTGTAAAACCCCCTCCCCGACTTTGCTTTGTCATGTTTCTGATGACAAAGGTGATGCGACTGGCACATTTCAGACAGTTGATGTCGCTGAAAGTGAAGCGCCTCCCTCCCCCTCCATTACTTTCCCCAACAGTGGTTGGAGTCCCAGGGACAGTGAGGGTGCCCTCTGGGCACCCGTCCCTTGGAGCTGGGCTGCAGTCACCTTGTGGGCAGCTGCCTGGTGGGAAGAGAGGCTAGAAATCTGTCACTTTGATTCTGCGGGCTTTTTTGTTGTTTCTTCTTTTATAAAAAAAAATTGCTGTTCATGTCTATGTAAGTCCCTCGAGCCTTTTATTTGTGGATGGTCAGCTTTTACAATTCAGCCAGCCACTTTGTGCCCAGAGGAAGGAGGGGAGGGGACCGTGTTGCTGCAGACCCTGTAAGAGCGGAGTCTGGGGAGAGGGCCTGGCCGAGCGTCCTCAGACTGCCCGCACATGAACGACAGCTCCCCTGCTAGCAAGTCAAATCTGCTGGAAAATTTTCAGCTCAGAGTTCCGGAACGCCTCCGGTTTAGCAACAGCAAAAAGCCACCTAATATGAGAAGTGTGGGCCACCCTGTGCAAGTGTTTTCCAGGTTCCTCCTCAGTATCTAAACCAGAGGGCAAGTGGGATGATGTCTGGCTTCTAGATCCCGGTTGGAACGACCCAGCCCCACTTCCTTCCCTTTGAGGAGCGGAGCGCTCTTAAGTGCCTGCAGTTTCTCAGCGTCCCAGAGCAGCCAGCCCAAGGCGGGTGCCAGTAACACACTGAGAAAATGACAAAGATAGCCATTACTTCTGAGTGTTACAGTTTTGTCAGGCTTGGTATAGTGCGCGTGTGCCTGTGTGTGTGCACGCACGCATGCGTGTGCTTGCTCACACACCCCAAGTACTGGGTGGAGCCTGTGCTACGCTTCTCACAATCCGCAAGGTCCTCAGTCCGAATCCAGCACCCTCTGAGAAGGAGAAAGATGGGCTTCCTACATGGTGTCTCCTCCTGTCAACAGTTACTGTCTCGGGAACCCACAGGGGCAGGTCTGTCCGTCCGCCAGGGTCCCTGTGAGTCCTTGTCACTTTGATGGCAGTGAGTTTGGGTTTTGGTAACCCCACTGTGTTAGGGTAAACCTCTGCTTTGTCTTCCCACATTGTCCTGAGCACTTGGATGTTGCTGGTGTGACCTGTTAGTGCAGAATCAGTGGCCTCTCCGCAATTCAGTGGTTTCCATGGCATGGTGTCTGGCTCAGCACTCACAGATTGCCTTGTGGACGGCCTGGCGCACAGCGCAGAGGAGCTACAGCCTCATCACTGTGACTTACAGCCCACCAAGCTAGCTACTGCCTTGGCAGGAGAGGGGAAAAGGAGGGGAGGGGGCCCCTTCACTTGCCTTCCTTCCACTTCACTTAAACTGAACATGGAATTCACTGCTAGAGGGAGTCAAGGCCACAGTCCAAACACCAAGAAAAACACAAGTCCTAGTCAAATCTGGGATGTGGGGTTTCCAGGGTCCTAGGTTCTGGCAACTTAGAGGATTTTTATCTTTTTTTTTTTAAATCATTTTATTGGGGGCTTGTACAACGCTTATCACAATCCATCCATCTTTTTTTTAAAAATCATTTTATTGGGGGCTGGTACAACGCTTATCGCAATCCATCCATCCATCCATTGTGTCAAGCACATTTGCACATTTGTTGCCCTCATCATTCTCAAAACATCTGCTTTCCACTTGAGCCCCTGGGAGGATTTTTATCTTTAAGGTCATCCAGACCCTACCCTCAGGAAGGCGTATCTAACAGCTGTTTGTCTGAAGCCAGGTGGTGGCTAGTAGGTGATCTCTTAAAGCTACAGTCTCCTCCAGCAGCTAAGGCCTTTGAAAGTGGGTGGGTGGGGGGCTGCTGGCATGGAACACCTCCCCCCACTGACATGGACAGGGGGGTAGGGACGGTCTAGAGGTCTCCAAGACCTTCAGACTTTGGGCAATAATTTTAAAGAGGTCAGTCTCTTCATCAGGTGAGGGGATGCTGTTCTAGAGCATTGAGGGAAGGCCAGGCGCCGTGTGCCGGATGAGGGGGTTTCTTGTTTTCTACTATGACCTCAGTGCTGCTATGTCCTGAGCGCTTACTGCCTCTTACCTTCCTGACACGCCACACGTTGACAACCTCAAAAATTACTTACTGTAAGGCAGCCAACACTGCATTGAGACGCAGAGGGGTGAAGTGACTCGCCCAAGGTCTCACAGCCAGGAGGCGCTAGAGGTTCCGAATGAGGAACTAACTGTCTACTACCTTTTCGTCTCCCTTCCTGGATCCCCCTTCCCCATCTGTGATGTGAGGAGTGCACGAGAGGCAGAAGGCAAGAGTGGGTTTGGTTTAGACCTGACTGTCTTTAGGAGCGTGCGCTCTCCAGCATGTTCTTTGCCCCAGCCTTCCACCTGCCCCCTGGCCCCCATGTGGCGTTTGCATTTGTATGCACTGTCCCAACAGTGCAGACCATCCGGATTCGGTGAGAAGCCAGAGGAGTGGAGTGGCAGGTGCTTGGCCTGCCTCCCTCTCCCAGCAGAGAGCGTTTGTTTGCTCCCCACCCCCGGGCCTGACACCCCAGAGCCCGGTGCTTTGTGGGGTGGAATTCATAACTGTGCTCACCTTGGAGGACTCTCCTGGGAATGAAAAAGCCTGGCAGAGCGCTTAGTGCAAAACTACAGGCTCGGGGAGCTGCTGGTGAGCTTTTTCAGAACGAGGAGGTTGGTGAACACATACACAGCCCCCCCCTCCCCCCTTCCATCATCTCAGATCAGCTGCAGGCCCTTTCCCATCCCCCAGCCCAGTGACCTGTTCTTCAGACCAGCCCGCCAGGGCCAAGGCCAAAAGCAGGTGTGGGTGGTGTTCTCCTGGGACTGAGGTGAGGTAGAGACAGGTAGTAGGTGTTAACGTTCTTCCAGTGAGACAGCAGCAGATCACTCAGTAACTCCCCCTCGAACTGTGCTGAGACTCGAGGAGCCTGAAGTGATTCTTCTGTGGAAACCAAGCTGGGAAATCTGAAGTTCCTGGAAACATGACCCAAGGCTGAGCACACCCACCTCCTGGAAATCTCCAGCCCTGCCTGGCGAAAACTCTTGAGCGGTTTCTCTGGAAGGTGCTGCTGTGCTGAGTGAAGGCCGCCTCTGCGCTTCCCGGAGGAAGCCAGCATTTCCTAACATTGAGAGGAACCAAATCACTCTTCCAAGAAATCACCGCTCTTCAACTTGGCTCTCCAGAGCAGAATACTGAACCTCTGGGGCACTAAGTGTTTCTTCCAGAACTCCAGGTGATGGTGGTGCAGATCAAGAATCAGTGGGGGCAGGGGAGTGTGTATGTGTCTCATTAAGATGTAGGTTCAGATTCTGTCTACGGGGTGGAAACACACATTCTCAGCAAGGGGATTCAAAGCTCTGAGAGAGGAAGTGAGTGATGGATAAAGGTGGATGAATGAATGCTAATTATCCCAGCCTCTGAAAAGACTTTATGCTGTGAGGTAAGCATTGAGCTGCTAACCTGAAGGTCTGCAGTTCAAACCCTCCAGCCCCTCCCAGCGGGAAAGAGGAGGCTGTCTGCACCAGCAAAGATTTCCCACTGTGGAAACTTTTTATTGGGTCGCTGTAGTTGGAGTCAAGTTGACGACAGTGGGTCCCGTGGAAAGCATTAAGGAGCCCCGGGGGCACTGTAGGTTAAGCGCTGGGATGATAACTGCAGGGTGGGTGGTTCAGACCCACCAGACACGTCTCAGCTGGCTGCTTCCATAAACATGGTGTCACTCTGAGTTGGAATGACATGATGGCTGTGGGTCTGGGTTTCCATGAAAAGCTCTCTGAGAGAAATCTGCAAAAGTGCTACCAAACACCAGACTGTGGCCCGGCAGCTGGTGGAGGACCTGTCTCCCCAGGTCACCTGGAACCGGGCTGCTGACACTCACCTTCTCTACCTGCACGCCCCCGCCCCCTCCCCCAGACCTTGGCCAGGATTGGATGAGGGAGAGACAGAGCGACCCCTGCTGGAGCTTCTCAAGAGCTCCTGTCCCTTTGGTTTCAGAGGAGTGAAAAGCACGTGTGCTCTCAAACTGCAGGGGCCCCACTTCAGAGACCGAGGAGCCCCGAGTCTCAACTTGTAAGACTCACAGGTGTGATTGCCCCGCATCAACTCTGGTGCGCATGTGTGCGTGCGTGTTAGAGCCCTGGTGGTGCTGTCAGGTAAGTGTCGGCTTACTAAGCACAAGGGCTGTGGTTCAAACCCATCAGCCACCGTGCTCCTGCTCGTCTGAAAGCGCGTGCTCTCGGGAACCACATACACGCCCACCCTGAGTCAGGGCGGGCTTGATGGCAGGGCACTGGGCTTTGTTTTGTGTTTGTGTTTTGTTTCTGGCCACAAGAGAGGAACGTGCCCACGCAAGGAAGCACGGACCATACAGCAGCGCATACTTGAACTCCTCGTCACCCAGTGGTTTCATATCCCTGAATTTTGTATGAGACTTGGCCAGGTCAGAGGGCCTGAACTGTCCCCCCCCACCCCC